CTATTATCAGAGGATTTTATTTTAACGGTCAATGTGACACCTCAGGCCATGACTTGTTTGCCTAAATTGTTGGCAGAACAGTTTTTTACATGAAATATTTAAATGATTGGGTAATGTTTTATAATGACTTTTCATAATGATTTTGGACAGCCAGTAATGTTTGAACAATTAATGAGAAGCAAACCTATAACTTATTCCATGTTTGTTAAGACTGTTATCTTTGAAAGACTAATGCTGATTTTACTAAAAAACTAGAGCTGGTCAGTAAATGATTTGTCCTTACACAGAATCAGGACCCACAACTCCGAGGTCTAAATGAACCTGAACCCTTAATGTCCTCTGGCAGAATACAGATTCAAGTCCATGAGTTAGCAAAACATTGAAAAGAAAAGCCCAGAAAAATTAAAAGAAATGCATCAGAAACTTGATGAATCAGGTTATTAAACAACTGGAAAGGCTGGTGAATCAAAAATAGAAGTTAACATGTCTACATAGATAACAGGTTTGGTTGATTTTTTTTGGGATGGACGATATATCGGCATTAACATCAGTATCGACCAATGTTGGTCATTTTTTAGAATATTGGCATCAGTCCGATATGTAAAACTGGGTCAATATTAATGTCCAATATTGATTTCCCGTATTTTAGCTTTGTGTTTCTGTTTTGGAAGGACAGATGGTTGATTGAGTGGTATCTGTTTGATCATTATAGTGATGGGAATGATGCACAGCCAGGAATAACTGAAGTAGAGAGCTATGCCAGCAGTCGTTTTTTTTTTTTTATGGTATCGGAAAAAAAAAAAAAAAACGTGTGTTTGTGCATATATGTATATAAATAATTTGTGTGTTTGTGTAATATCGGTAAATATCGGGTATCGACCATAACAGCAATAATATCGGATATCAATATTGGCTGAAATTTTCATATCGGTGCATCCCCCTTTTTTTAAATTTAAACATCTTTTAAACAAGTTTTACTTTCTTCATCTACAAGGTGTTTGTTAATTTATTAGTGTTTGAATATTGCACATCAACCAATTTATATAATACTTTTTAATGGCACAGTGTGAACAACCTAAGTTACTCCAGTGAACCGGGTTATTTTTGTGGTTGATTCAGATCAAACCAGTTTCATATTCCAGATTTCATAAATCTGTTTGTGTGGCTCAGATGTAATAAATAAATAAAATTAAATAAACAAAAACCTGTCTGTTTTCCTCGTCTCCATGGTGTCACAGCTAGATTATATAAACATCTGTGTCCAGGTTTAAGCTTCACGATTGGGGCACCACTCACAACAGACAGATCTGTCTGGACCTGCAAGCGAAACATCAAACATACAGGATGAAGAAACACAACAAAACAAATAATTTAGATAAATACCATTATTTATATTCTTCAGATTTACCACCTTATCCATTAAAATGAATAAATGAAGTGTAATGAACTGAGTAATCTGTGAGTTATTACTTTTAGAGTCAGCTGTCTCAGGCTGTAGTTGGGAACACGCAGCTGGGTGGAAGTGGTCGTCCCAACAGGGCAGGATAACACTACGTGTTCCACCAGCAGGGGGCACTCTCCCTGTCCCCTCGGGGTGAACGTGTGCTCTGTGCTGTCACCCTCGCTGTGTGCAGACAGTTTATTCTGTGGGGGAGGGGACAAAGTGCAGAGTGTAAAACACAAGCCAGTGTTCGGTGTGAGCAACAGGAAGCAGCACTCACATGTGAACATAGCAACCCTGAGAGAAAAGATTTTAAAAAAATGTGTATACTACACGGTTATCTGTGTCTGATTCATAAAGAACCATCAGGCTGTAGAAGCTGATTTTCTCAGTATGACACAGAGCTGTAGAATACTGCAGAACGTCTGGAATTCGGAACCCCCCAGAACCCATGTTCACAGGCATTGGTGGTTCAGTGGTAGAATTCTCGCCTGCCACGCGGGAGGCCCGGGTTCGATTCCCGGCCAATGCAAAGTCTTTTGTTTTCTCTCTCTTGCTACTGCGTAGAACGGGCACATCCAACTCCGGCCCTCAAGTGCCGGTCTCCTGCAAGTTTTAGATTTGTCCCTGCTTCAACACTGCTTCAACACAGCTGATAGATGGTTTGCCTTCTCAGTTTGCCATCAAGGTCTGCAGAGGCCCATTTATTAAGCATTCCTTAGGTTCAGCTGTGTTGAACCAGGACAGCACCTAAAACATGCAGGACACCGGCCCTTGAGGACTGACTTTGGACACCACTGGTGTAGAACAAGAAGAAGGACATTGTTGAAAGACAAAACATTTTATCTAAAAAAATATCCCTTCATTCAGATGCCAAACTATGTGTAAAGCAGAGCAAGAGGCTTTATCAGCGTGCATTGCCAATTCAATGCACACTATTGTGATTCGTTTCCCATCCAAGTCATCTCAACTTTGCCATGCTTCTCCTCCTGCATACTTTGTCCTAGAGCTGCCATTGTAATTTATATCTGTAAAGCCCCTGTGCCAAATGTTGGCTATGCCTTTTGGTGCCTGTACAACTTATATGTGAATG